TACGTGGCAGCACTCGTGCAGCAAAGTCTTCTTCAACCTGCAAACATGCACACACGGAGGCACAGAGAGGGAGAGAGATCCGTGTGTTTGTGTGTGTGTGTGTGTGTGTGGCAGGGTGGACCTGTATTCTGAGTCGATGACTTTGGTAGACAGCTGGATGACCGTCTTCATGTCAGCAGCACCAGCAGCACCACCACCACCCTCAGGCCCCCCCAAGATGCGCTTGGCCGACGTGGTGCCTGCTCGCATGTGTGTTGGCGCGCGAGTGGGTCTCGGGGTTTACTGTGTGTGTGTTCGTACTCCTACCAGCAGTGGTGAGCAGCCGGGCGTTCCAATTGATGACTAAGTCGGCCGGCAACCTATACACACCAACACACACACACAGAGGGGCACTCCATCTCTCTCTCTCTCTCTCCACCCCCACATCGACCCACCGGCCATCAAAGACCTCCCGATTGAAGGTCCTATACCTACACACACACACACACACACGCACACACAGCGACAGAGAGAGACGACAAGCATGTGGATGAATGGATGGATGGATGGATGTGGCCCATCATCATGTGGGCGGATGCCTCAGGCACCCACCAGCTGCGTGCCATGCCTTCCCGCCTCTCTCTGAACCTCTCCACCTCTGCCCCCCAGCCGCGCAGAAACCTCGGCGTCGCAAAACGACCTGAATCGACACCGTCTTGATCGGGCGGGCGCACAAACGGCGCCTGCACCCACAGACAGACAGACAGATGGATGGATGGAAGCATGGAGACATTCACACATGGAAATGAGTCTGGCTGACTGGCTGGCTGGTAAAGACCCACACCCATCACAGTGCGCACATCGTCGGGGTCGAAGAGGGCCTCGATGCGATTGCGTGTTGCCGGGGGCGGGGGCGTCTTAGGTATTGGTGCCTGACAGACAGACAGACACACGCACAAAGATTCCCTCCCTCCCTCCCTCCCTCTGTGTGTGCCTCATCTTTCTCCTCCACTCACGCCCGCGAGATCGCCCCTTTTTGGCCGTCTGGGCGTCACGAACCCCCCGCCACCCCTTCTTAGCCCACCGTCACTGCTGTCGCTGTCGCTCTCACTGCTCCTCCCACCAACGCCCTTCACCCCCGGGCGCAACGGCGTGCGGCAGCTCTCGTTGCGCAGGTTCAGGAAGAGATCGTCGCCACCGCCACCATCCCAAGCGGTGTCGGGAAGGACTTGGTGCTTGCTCACGGGGGACGGGGTGCGTGGCGCTGGTGGTTGTGGTGGTGGTGGGGGCGGAACGAGGCGCGACCCTGCGCACAGAGATATGGATCAAAGGCTGAATGGGTGAGCATAGACTCATAGAGTGGGTGGGCGAACTGAACCGGTGGCTATAGCCGGTGGCGGTGTCTTCGATCGTGGGTATCGCTTCAGCTTGGGCGTCGACGTGTTGTTGTTGTTGTTGTTGATGGAGAGGGACGACATGGACGTGATCAGGTGGTCCACCGACGGGAGCTGACGATGGTCGTGGCGGCTGCTGCTGTTGTCCCCCGCCCGTCCTGGCGCTTGCTGTGTCTGGTTCTTTGCCTGCGTCTGTGTCCTCTGCAGTAATCGCTGCCGCAGGTCCCCACCATCACCTGCATCACACACACACACACACACACACATGTATACACAGATCACACCTCCGTTGCCTTGCCTGCACCTGTGTCGCTGACTGTGTGTGCACATCATGATCCTCCCCTCACCCCCTGAGGCTTCTCGTTGTGTGTTGTCTTCCCCGTCGGTGTCGCTATCCTGGACGATGCGCGTGTACTTGCCGCGCCTCTTGCGTGCAGACGGGGGCAGCAGCGACTCCCGAGAACCGTCACCACCATCTGCAGGGCAGTGCAGTGCAGTCCAACGACACAGCCCATCCATCCGTCCGTCCATCCATCCATCCGTCCATCCTCCCATCCACGGAATGACGCACCTGATTTGTCCATGGGCAGCCTCGATTGCCCGCCCAGCACGGGTGTTGACGGCGACCGATTCATTGCAGGCCCGGGTGCGCCGTCATCACGATGGCCGCCACCACCCTCTGGCACGGCCCTCTGCTGCCAAAAAGAATCCGCTGCAGAGAGAACAGTTTGATGGTTGGATGGTCATGCGGGTTCTTCTACAGTCTGTAGGGCCAAATACCTAGGGCGGCGAGGGCATTCCCACGGAGCCGATTTGTCGTCATCTTCAGCCACTCCCTCGTCAGCGATCTCGCGACCTTGAGCTCGCAGAGCAAGAGAGGAAGCGGGGAGGAGCTCGGGAGATCTGATCCGTCTGGTCTGTCTTCTCCCACACAGACCTCTCCCCTTTTGTTCCATCTTCTCCCTCAGACAGGGATCCAATCGATGGGTGGATGGATGAATGCGTCGTATAGATGAGTGCGAAGCGCTGAGGATGCATCTGTTGACAGACAGGTCGGTATGTAGCTACCGCACTCGTGATGTGCACACCAGACCACACAGATTAAAACATGGTCGATGCATTTCCTCTCTTTGTGCGTCTGTGTGACTGACAGAACAGATCCCTCATGAGATGAGCAGCCCTTCGGCGATGGGAGGCAACCACGACCAGCCAAACCAACACCATCGATATCAGCAGCAGCCCCAGCAGCAGCCCCAGCAACAGCAGCAGGCAATGCTTTCCTCCACAGACAACAACCCAGGTAGGAACAACCCAGGTAGGTAGGTACACTCCCACCCATCTCAAGAATGATATCATATCGTCCTTCATTTCCAGGTCCCCCCCGCGCGAAGGCGAAGCCCCGTGTGCGTCCGAAGGGTCGGCCGATGCCGCCCCTGGCCCGCGGGCAGCAGGACCGGCGCCGCACCTACTACGAGCGGTCCATACCCGACAGCGATAGCGATGACCAAGACGAAGATGAAGATGAAGAAGAGGAGGAGGTTGTCGACAGGTGGGCGCGGCGCGATGGTGTGGTGTCTGTACGCTTGTTTCTTTGTCTGTGTGGCTGTGGTGTGGTGATGGTGTGGTTGTGTGAAGGCCCCGCCGTCGGCGCAACAACATCAATCGCATCCGAGCCGGGTGGGTGTGTGGGTGAGGTGTGGGTGGGTGGGTGGGCTGGCACACAGCACCCTCGATCGAGGAACCAGACAGACAGACAGGCGTGCAGTGAGTGAGTCGAGTGAGTCGTGCAGCCAGGCAGCCACACGAATGAAAGCGTGTTGTGTACTTATGTGCGCAGGCGTCGTCAGATCGTCCGACGTGCTGTAGCCATTCGGCGGAGAGAGGAGGAAGACGAGGAAGACGACGACGAAGCAGAAGAAGAGGACAATGATGATGAGGATCAGGAAGGTACTGCACAGCACACAGCACAGCACAGCACAGCACACAAAGGTGGTACCTTCTCCATGGGTGTGTGCTGTGGATCCATCCATTTCTGTGCTGCAGGTGATGACGATCCGGCCGAGGGCGAGGAGGGAGGGGTACACCACACACGGAAAGAAAGAACACAGGCAGATAAGATGGGCATGTGTGAGCCGGATGGATTGACTGCTGGATGGATGGGTGGCTGCAGGGTGACGAAAGCAACGACGAAGAGGACCAGGAGGAGGAAGCGCCGGAGACCGAAGAGGTCCGCACACCACACGGCGACACACCGCACACAACACACGGACCTACTCATGTGTGTGTATGTGTGTCCATGTCCCCACCCCACGCAGGCCCGCCAGGGGCGTTTCGACGATGTGGTGACCAGCGACGAGGCCATGCAGCAGGCCATGACGGTGCGCAAGGAAAGGAGTCACTCACTCACTGACTGACTGAAACCAATCCGCAAACACTCACGCCGTGGTATATGTGTGTGTCTTGTTTGTCTGTCAGGCCATCCTGCGGCTGTACGGTGACGGCAATGGCAGCGTAGACTTCAGCAAACGTGCACACACACACACATGTCTGTGCCGTGTGGTGGTGTCAATCATTCCTCCCTCTGTATGTCTTTCTGTCTGTCTGTCTGTGTGAAGGCTGTTGCCGTGTGGACCTCCGAGAGCGTCTGTGTGAGCTGGACGCCGACGGACCACCGCCCCTCTTTGGACAAAACTTCTTCAGACACACTCACAACGTACAACGTACACACGTGTCACCCCCCAGCCCCACACGCACCATGGGTATGTCTAATGTCCACGTCTGTGTGTGTGTGGACTGACTGCCTGTACTCACACTCATCCACACACACACACACACACACATATGCAGGGTGCGGCGGCGTCCTCGTCGAGTAGCGGCCGCCCCAACCCTGCCCCGTACATCTCTCGCGCGAACGCGGTGATTGCCCGGCTGTGCGAGCACCACTTTCTGCAGCGAGTGGACCTGGGCGATGATCAGCAGCAGGGCGATGCTGGTGCTGGTGGTGGCGGTGGGGGTGACGTATTCGTGCTGCACCCTGACAAGCAGGCGGTCAGTGCGCACATCGGGATGGATGGCACACCGATGGATGGATGGCACACCGAGGATGGATGGATGGATGTCGACCCGTCTTGTGTATGTGTGTGTGTGTGTGTGTGTGCAGGACCTTGATAGCTTGGAGTACCTGTTGGAGGCGGACGACTGACTCACTGATTCGGAGGGTGGCACTCTCACCACACACACAAACACATCCACCAGCTGTTGGTGTAGCTAGCTGTCAATAGGGAGGGAGGGAGGGAGGGGGCCGGGGTCACATCCACGCGGATGAATGAATGGATGGATGGATGTGTGCGTGTGTGCGGACGGGTGTGTACCAACACATGAAGCCACTGCGTGCGGATGCGTGTGATGTGACGCAAGCCCCGTTCTCTCATCGGCACTGAAGCCCATTCAGACGTTCCGTCGGCATGAGCATCCTGGACAATCAAGTCGCCTTCACAATACAATTACAATGTCCCCCTCCCCCCCCACCACATCCTTCCCACCCATATATACTATCGACATCAGTCAGTCAGTCAGTCCGTCAGTCAGTCACTGGTGACGCCGCTCTTTCGTTGAGAGCAGAGCACCCTGATCCTGTTGTGGTAGTCCTCCATCGAGATGTACCCGCCACTGAACTTACGCGGAGACCGCACCGAGAAACCACTGCGCCCATGCAACACCTGCACACACACACCCCAGTGGACACACAACACAAAGCTGATTGGGGGTTGTGGTGGTGGTGGGTGTGGGCGTTTGGCTCACTCACCCGGTGGTTGTTGAATATGAGTGTGGTTCCTGGGGTGAGGGACAGCCACAGCTCGCCGGCAGGGGCACGAATGGCCGATAATAACACCTGGCCCCCACACACAGACATTCCATGCACATGGATGGATGGATGGATGGTGGGTGGTGGATGGGATCCGGCTCTTCCTGCCTTGTGTGCCCGTCGAGTGTGTGTTGACCGACCGACCGACCTTCAGGTGTCTGTAGAAGACGGCCGCCTCGTCCGGACTCATTGCAACGGGGGCGCGATCGTATTTGTTGAACCTAGCACAAAACACAAACACAATGGCACGGCATGGCATGGCTGCTCAGCACCCCACCCCAGCCCATCAGAGGTCAGTCACCTGAATGCGGCGACGACCGACTCGTCTTGAGCAAGTGTCTGGATGACGGGCTTGTGCTGAATGTACTGGTTGGACGCGTCAGTGAAGTGAAATGCCACAGGCGTCCTGACCGAACCACACACACGCACACACACACACAGACACACAGAGGACAGGAAGGCATGGACACATACGTTCGTCCGTTCATGGGACGAATGATGAAAGGTGGGGCTCAGCGCACCGGCGCCAGTACTCGTAGGTGTGGGGTGCGTTTGCCCTCAGGTCATGGGCGACGCGGTAGCCATCCACGAGCAGCGACTGACCTGAGCGTGAGTGTATATGTGTGTGTGTGTATGCGCCAGCCCAACACACATCAGCCAACCCCTGTGTCTCTCACCCACCTCCGCCGGCCGGGTCGCTCGCGTGGCAGTGAAACACCTGCAGCCCTGGCGGATCCTCTGCACACACACACACACACACGGGCGCAGGCCAAGTGCGGCCATCCATCCATCCATCCATCCATCTATTTATCCATTCGGCACCAAACTGCGTGTGTACCGACCGAAGTAAGTGCAGTCGGTGTGTGCGTGAAGCGGCAGCGACGAGTAGGCCGTGTCAGCGGTCGAGTAGTCGCCCTCGTCAGCTGATCCCGACGCGGACTGCATGGGTTTGACCTCCACCTTCCACAGCCCGTCGGCGTACACCGTCCGTCGGAAGAAGGCGATCCGTGAGCAGAGGACGTGTGTCGCCTCGTCCGTCAAGGGCGTCGACTCCACTAATGCGAATCTGACACGCCCGACAGACATGTGGAGTCAGATTGCACGTAGGACGGATGGGAGGACGGGGTGGGCGCACCCGAAGTCCCGAATGCTCTCGAGGCACTGCAGCAGCCGCTCGTTGCTCGTCACCACCTGACGAGGACACACAGGATCAAGCGGCCGACCATGAGGCTTGTCGAGTCGAGCCACGAGAGCTGTGGTGAGGGCCCTCGCCTCTGTGTAAGCGAAGGTGGCTTCGGGCAGGCTGCTCGTCATGCTCTCTGATGTCCATACTCGCCTCGTGTAGACGTCTGCACACACACATACACACACACACATACACACACACACACATATTCACACAGGCCGCTGTGCTTATGTCGCTCCCCCTCTCTCACTCACCGGATGCAGTGTCCCTTGTCGGCTGCAGCACCCTCTGCAGCCAGGTGAGGCCGTACACAGACGGGCCGACGTGGCCGTGCACATTGCCATCGGCCCACTCCACCACCAGCACACCACTCTCGTCACTCACTGGACACACATACACCCATACCGATACAGAGAAACACCCACACACTACCTCAGACCCGCCCGCCGCTCGCTCACCCGGCAAGGAAGCGTGTTGAGAGGCTATTGTGGCACTGGCGATGGCCGGCGCGCCGCTGGCCGCCATCCATGCCTCCGCCTGGTCTTTCCTCTGGTAGGTGCTGTAGTCGATGCAGCCGCTGCACTGGCAGTGGTCGCGCAGCCACTCGGACGACAGCCGAGGACGCGCGCCAGACGGCAGGACCACCTCGATGCTGTCACGCGAAACGTCTGAAATGAGCGAGGGGCAAATATTCCGGCGACAGATGACTGTGCGCATGCACGATTGTGTGTGCCCGGAGTGAGGGCGTACCATGAATCGTGATGGGCGATGCTATCGTCGCAAATCGCCGGCGCGTATTCCATCCCTTGAAGTTCCCTCTCACGCCGTTCTCCACCAGACGACAGCCGCTCGGGAGCAGCCGCAGCCTCGTACTCGAAGAGGCCGAAACATGGTTTCGCGCCGGCGCGCATTGATGGATCTTCGCTGCTCGGCAGGCGTATGACAAAGGAGCACGCGACGATGCTGCCCGCAGCATCCTGAATCTCCCAGAAACGGCAAGCTGCGAGATTAGCTCGCAAGAAGAGGCAAAAGGAGTCGTCAAGGAGTCTTCCCGTCGTGTGACACCCTCTCTCTCTCTCCCTCTCTCCCTTTTGTGCGTTGTGTTGTGCGTGCGACGAAAGAAAGATGATCACTTTGACGGTCAAGAGAATGGCGGACAGCAGCGTCTTCTCGGTGGACATGGAGCCGTCCGCCACCATCGAGGAGCTCCGCGAGGCTCTCACGGCCCACATCGACTGGCCTACAGCCGAGATGCGCCTGCTCCACCAGGGTCGCGTGCTGCAACCCCAGTCCACCCTCGAGAGCTATGGCATCATCGCCGACACCACCATCTACCTCGTCCGCAACGTCCAGGCAAGACAGCAGCAGCAGCAGCAACAGCAACAGGGTGGCAGTGGCTCAACGGTACCGACGGCTCCAGGGATGGCCTTCCCCACTGTGGGTGGCATGGGTGGTATGGGTGGAGTTGGTGGTGTGGGTGGTATGGGTCAGTCGATGCTGCAGAACCCTGAGGCGATGCAGGCCATCATGAACAGCCCCTTCATGGACAGTTTGCTCAACAACCCCGAGTTCATGCAGATGGTCATGAACATGAACCCGCAGATGCGCGAGCTGAGGGAGCGGAACCCGGAGCTCAACCACCTCCTCAATGACCCTCAGGTAAGGTACCTGAGGTGACACACAGAAATGTGGCTGTGCTGATATATATATGTCTGTGTGTGTGTGGGTGGGTGGGTGTGTGGGTGGGTGCAGTTTCTGCGGCAGTCTCTCGAGATGTTCCGGAACCCCAATCTGATGCGCGAGATGATGCGCAACACGGACAGGGCCATGAGCAACATCGAAGCCATCCCTGGAGTGAGTAGGGCAAAGACACCACACACACACGCACACGCGCGCGCGACCTTACGCAATGATCCCCTCTCTCTCTCTCTCTCTGTGTGTGTGTGCGTGTGTGTGTGTGTGTGTAGGGTTTTAACGCGTTGCGTCGGATGCACGAGACCATCTCGGAGCCAATGTGGGACGCTACCATCAACTCACAGGCGGGCGGGCAAAGCGCACAGACCCGGGAATACACACAGGTGACTGGGTGGGGTGGCTGGCAATACAAAACACAACACAACGCGCCAGAGAGGGAGAGAGAGCTGAGTGGCCGTCTGTGTGTTTGTGATGCAGCAAACATCGACTGGCCCCAACACGTCTGCCCTCCCAAACCCATGGGGTACACACACACACACTCACACGCCGACCACCACCACCAGCCATGCACCACTTCTATCGCATCTATGTGTGTTTGTTCATTCGCTGTGCGTCGATCTGTCCATCGTCAGCTCGCGGCGGCGGCGGTGGTGGTGGTGGTGGTGCTGGTGGTGCTGGTGGTGCTGGTGGTGGTGTTGGTGCCCCAGGCGCCCCCCAGCCGTCTGCCCCGCCAGCAGCATCAGCAGGGGCATCAACAACAGCTCCTCCGGCCACTGGCGGCATGGGGGCGGGCAACCCGATGATGAATCCGTTTCTGAGCATGTTACAGGGCATGCAGGGCTTCGGCAATGTCAACCCCCCTGCTGCTGCTGCTGCGGCCGCTCCAACCGCCAACACAGTGAGGCGACAGACCGACGGATACACACGTTCATCCATGGCACCCCCTCTCTCTGCCTCTCTCCCCCTCTCTCTCTCTGTGATGTTTTTGGAAGGCGTCGAGTGCGTCTACCACATCTAGGGGGGCGAGCGGCGCTACGCCCACGCCGACGCCCACCGTCCCCCCCTTCCCGTTCATGCCATTCATGCCCCCACAACAGCAGCAGCAGCAGCAACAGCCACAGGGGACGACAGCAGCATCTGCCGCCACGCAATCTGCAGGGGTCATGGGCAGCACCACCCCCCAAACACAACAAGGGGCTACCACAGAGGGGCCCACTGCTGGCGGCGAGGGTGGTGAGAGTGCAGCCCAGCAACAGCAGCAGCAGCCGAGTCGCACTGGTGTCGGTGTCGGTGTCGGTCGTGGCAATGTTCCCTTGTTCAATCCGTTGCTATTCAACCCTATGTTGACGGCCAACCCGCAGCTCATGCAGCAGCTGCAGCAGGCCATGAGCAAGTGAGTCACGGACGGAGGCGGGGAGGCAGGGAGAGAGCACAGAGAGACCACCACAAGCCACCCACCCACCCACCCAGCCCCAGGCATCATTCGTATGTCAAGTGAAGACACGCTCTGTGTGTGTGTGTGTGTGTGTCAGTATGAGCTTGGGCGGCACTGCCGGCAGCAGCGGCAGCGGCAGCACTGCTGCTGCTGGTGGTGGCACGTCAGCAGGGGCCACCACGAGCACCACTACCCCGGACACGCACCAGCCGGCCGCTGAGCCAGGTATGTATCGTACGCCCACATGCACCAGACCGACGGATGATATTAATGTTGCATTTGTTTGAATGTGTAGATCCTGAGGTGTTGTATCGCAGTCAGCTGGCCTCTCTGCGTAGCATGGGTTTCACCGACACACAGGCCTGTGTCGACGCACTCAAAGCCGTCAACGGTAGGCACATAGGCAGGCAGACAGCAACCAATCGCCATATCGGTGCATTCGTCTCTCTCTGTCTCTCTCTCGGCATGGCATGGCACGTTTGTTTGTGTGTCAGGTAACTTGAACCGAGCGATTGACCGGCTGCTGGCGCGGGGCAGCAGCTGAGTCGATGGATGGATGGGGGGCTGGATGGATGGTTGCAGTGCGTTCGTGTTCTCGTGTTTTTGGCCTCACTGAGTGATAAGTTAACTGACTGATTCCCGTTCCCCCTGTGTGACTGGGAGCATTCGCGACGCGACACACATACACACACACACACACACACACACGTCCGCATATGTGTGTAGACACAGCGGTCTGGAGCTCGTGCCCAGAAGCGCGCAGACAGGCAGACAGGCAGACAGACAGACAGACAGACAGGGAGGGAGGGAGGGAGGGAGGCGGGAATGCCACTGCCGTGCGAGCGTATGTGTCTGTATGTGTCTTTGTTCTCTGTTGTGGCGGTGGGGGTGTGGTTTGGGGGGTGGAGTTTGATTCACCGAAGGGTGACTGTGTGCAACCGCTCCCCGCGCGCACCCCGGGGAGCGATTACACACAGTCTCCCTTCCGTCAACCCACCACCACGCACAGACCACCGGCAAATTCCCGCGTTGCCTGTGCTCCACAGCTGGGGTACGGGGAGGCGCGGGTGTGTATGTGTGTGTGTGTGTGAGTGTATGTGAGCGTATGTGTGTGTGTGAGAGTATGCTGCGACGCCTTTTCGAAGTGTCCGTGTGTGTGTGTGTGTGTATCTGTGTGTGATGCTGCGATCACCGATGGCGACGAATGATTTCTCACATGTTTCTGCGCCGCTCCCAGATGTGTGTCCATGTACACACCGAGCACTGAGCTGACACACACACACACGAGACAGAACAGGAGAATGGCGCAACACAAACCGACCGACGGCGGGCTGAGACACCACATCCATCCACACAGACACGCACGCACGAAAGCAGTAAGGCAGTCAGGCAGGCCTGCAGGTGGGCAATGACCACAGGTACCAATCAGCACACGCAGGCCCTGGGCGGCCCCTATCTCCATCTCCAGTCCTTGAGTGAGTCGATGATGGCCCAGGGCGATTTGCTGAGCGCCTTAGTCTTACTCTTCCTGCGCCTATCCTCCTCATACTCCTCATACTTCTCGCCTTCGCCGCGGCCGCAGGCAAAATCGACACGCGCCGTCTCATCCTTCGCTGAGACTGCAAGCTGGGGGCAAGGGGGCCTTGGAGTCCCAATCAGACAGTCCTGCGCCCCACTGGCTGCCCATGTGCCACAAAAAGGCTAACGGTGGAGGCTTCGAATTCGAGATCGGCGAGAATTGGAGACGGGACGAGAAATAAATCGAGACAAGCAAGTTTGTCCCACTTTTTCACAGTTTCCGTCCACGGTCGGCTCGTGAGCCTTCTTTGGACCACAGATCCCCCGCCTCTTATTCTTTTCACCTGCCTTTTGGCTGGTGTGGTCCGCCGCATCGCCTCCCGCCCCTCCCAACTCGTCCGGATGAAAACTGCCCCTTCCTTCCTCTACCGCCGTGCCACGAGCGAGGCCTCGGTCGGTGGCGCCCTGCCCGTCTGCTGAATGAGTGGCGCCTCTTTGGCACCTGCCTGGCGTCAACTGAGTGCGCGCACGCCTTTTTCTGCCTTCAAAACCTCCCCTCAAGTGTAAGTACATTGGCTAAGGTACTGTAATGGTATTATGTTTGGATGATGTTCAAGGATGACAAGGATGACTGCGTAGTCTGTTTCATTGCTGTGGTGATCTCACTGTGCCCTGCTGGCATGCTGATGTGCAGATGGTGGGATTTTGGTTCTTTCTGTGATGGCCGTCTCCTTTTTGTCGACAAGGCCTTGTCTCTCTCAAGTAAGTCAGGAAGCCAGTAAGTCAGTCAACTTCACAATGGACAGCTTGAGGACAATGATGAAAAGGAGAGGGTGGCGTTACCAACAAGGAGCGCTTCGGAAAAAGACGTGCGAGCTTGTGGCGAGAATCGCGGCGAGGATTCGAATTCTCGCCGTCTCGAGACGGTGTTTTCCAGAAAAGGAAGCAGCGGACATTTTCCACGCCAGCTCTCCTCATTTCCCACTGTTCGCCTCACATCTCCTTCGTTTCTGTTCATTTTTCGGCGGGAGAGGTCGGGCGCCACCCGCCCGAGGCCGACACAGCCCCCCCTGATCGGTGTGTGTTCTTGCTTGTCGTGTGTGTGTGTGACCGATCAGATCTTGGGGAGCCTGCAGTTGTGCAAGGGCTACTCATGCGGCGATGGGTGGCGGTGTGTGCATGGTGAAGTTCAACCAGCCTGAGTGTGTGTGTGCGCCCAACTACGTCCGCCGCGCATCGACTCGACGGGCAAACGCATTCGTCAAGAGATCGAAGTAAGTGCGACGAGCGAGAAGACCACACACACACATACGTATGGACAGTTGACTCAACTGTGCACTGACGGCTGCTCCCTCTGTCTTTGG